AGGATTTGTTTCAAAAATGTCTCCTGGAGCAAACCCATTATAATGGAGATATTCATTGTCCTTATTTGAGATACTCAATACCCATTTTTACCTACCAAGGAAGCCAGATCCAAAATTTAAAAAGTTCCAGTGTTAATATATACATTATTTGATATCTGCATTACCCACTTCTTCCATCTAAGATTTTCAGTCTCAGTGGAGTTCAACCATTTGTCTGAACAAAGGGCATTATGACAATATAGCTATTGAGAAGTTCTAGGATAAGTTTGCAATGAGATTATCACCAGTGAAAAAGGCTGCCATGAGACATGGCCATGCTTAAGCTCTGATACAGATTCTTCAAGAACGTCCTCTCTTCAGAGTGTTTTTCAAACAGAAATGGATTTTAAAGCAGGAAAGGATTTATGTACCAAGCCTGTGGTGCCTTCAGGGGCTGACTGCTATAAGCTATAAGGCAAAAAAAGCCCCTCTTATTGGAAAATATTTGTGTGAAAATACCATCCAAAAGAATTTGGATTCCTGAGAGCATAAGGAGGAAAAAGTGATGCCATATCTAACTATGACTCCGGTCCTTCAACTGTTAGAGCATAAATTGTCAAATCTTACTCAGAATGCATGAAAAGTGCTAAGTGAGCACTGCCAAAATTTTCAGTATTTTTCCAAGACAGAATATGTCTTTTGAATCAATAGTTTGTTTAGGAAAGGACTGTTAGCTAAGCACACACATTCTCTTTCCTACCTTTGCCATATGGACCCTGCTGCATTAAGCTATAGGAAGTCCCATTCTGCCCTTTCACCCCTACAGTGAGTGATTGTCTGCACTGGGTTTAAGCTGCTTGTACTTGGCAAAATCAAGATGTAATTCAATTGTAAAGACTGTAATGACTCGCATTCAAAAACACAGAATTCAAAACTCAGGTTAAAAATTAAGACAATAAACCCCAATGTTAAGACATGCAGAAATATTCCTAATTATATCTATTATATAATTCAATATTATTATATTTCCAATCGATAGAAAGGCATATACTAAAAGGAGTTTTAAGATAGTAAGGCCATTGAATGCATGGGCTGCTTGTATTGAGATAAATGGGATCCAAACACCCACATTTAAAATCAGAGAGTAATAGCCATTTTACTATGATTTCTGAGAACTTTCAAAGAAAAAAATTACCAGACTGATTATCTTCATATGAGTTCAATATATGAAGTTATTAGAACATCTTTTCTTACCTGTCCAAAATAAACAAAGAACTTGAGTAGCATAAGCATAACAAAAATAAAGCTAAAACTTAAGGGTCTCAGATTACTCTTGTGTACAAAGTCACTTAAAGCTTGAGCAAGACCAGTATTATGAGTGATAATAAACAGTATAAATAGAAGAGGAGAAAAATCAGCACAGTGGTCAATTCTGTCTGAAGTACCCATGTGAATGGCTTCACACCACAGGTTCTATTTGCCGTGCAGTAATACTTAAGATTCAACTCTACCATAAAGCTTTCTGAAGTAGATATGTGTAAATAATAATAATAACAACAAGAATAACAATGTGTTCCTATAATATTGCCATCCGTAAAATTCAAAGCAATCAGAAAGATTAACTTGGTTTAACAACATCAGAAATTTAAACAATAATGATTAGGAACCAACACAATAGCAGGACAGTGCTACTGATCCCAACTGCTACAGATGATAATGTCTACAGACACCATAAGAAATCATTGCAAGACTTTTGTTCCCACCCTTGTTAAACATATAGAGAGCTTAAATACAATTAAGTAATTCACAGTGTTGCAGAACAATGTTTTGGGCTGCCAGAATAATCACAAATCACAACAACTTCTTATCATATCCTTTTTCTCATAGAGTAATATAAACACTTTCAATATCATAAAATACACAGTGCAATACAGCTGAATTAATCTATCAGGGAAAATACAACGTGGGGTATTTTGTTATTCTTGAAGCTTTGATATCAGCACCATAATATCACAGTAGCACTATTTCTGATGTACCTAACTAGAACAGTATATGTAATGCAACATTTTGCCCTTCTATTCCATTTTATTCCTTTGCTGCTGAAAGAGTTCTTTAAAATATTTACATGGTAACTGGCAAGAAATAGTTCTGCATATTGCAGGCAGGAGAAAATATTGTGAGTTTTTAGTTTGCTGAGAAACTGTGCTTACACGCATTTTTTAAATTCCTGGATTGTTTCTCACCCTTTTTGTTTCACTAGCAATATATTCATATGATGAAATATAGAGCAGTGAACTAACAGACTGGAGAAGACTGCCAAACACCAGCTTTGCCTCTGGCCAGAGTATTCTGTACACCTGCAGTCCTGAAAACGCTGGAAAGGTTTCTAATTTCATGTTTTGAGAAGAAAAATAAAATGCTCTCAAGGAGTTAGAAGACCTTGCACTTTGGCCAACTCCACTTACATTTTTGGCTCTATATCCTAAAAGTGAAAAGAGACAACTGGGAAATTTGCTTGCAGTATCCAAGTTCAGAATGAATCAGTAACTTAGCAGTGTCTTCTGCTCTTACCAAAATCTCTTGAGACGTTCTAAAAATGGGCTTTAAGCTAATTATTTCATGAAGAATTGCATCACTATACAAATTTCTCTAAAAATAGCTGTCTCAGAATTCTCAAAAGGAATCTTGGCCAGGGTGATTATACATATTATGTAATCACTCAGCCAAGCCCACAGGGTGATTTTGTTTAATGCTCTATTTCTGAAAGCTTCTTAAAAGCCTACTACAAAGTTCTACGGCTCTCAAAACACAGCATTTGGTGTATGAATCAAAGCAATTCCAGTGGTTGCTTTGCTGGGAGTTCATTACTATGCTTGCCATTTATTTAAAGCAGTAAACGATAAATATTTAACTGACAGATTGCAGCTGCTAAATTGTATTTAAATCATGACAACTGAACATGTTTGTTTCTTATGGGAATGTGTTTGCAACACAGAGGTCAGTATTATTACTACTAATGTTACAGCTGGATACACTGTAATAGAAATAAATTTTCCTAGGTTATCAAAATATAACGTGAGAAACCTGCAAAAGTAAGCCAGCACTTGAGATAAAAACAATTATCTTTTTCCAGCTTAGAAATAACAGAAGTTTTACTTACACTCACACAGTCACAATCCATAAAAATATGGCTCAACTCATTCATAGAACTAACATTTTAATCTTTAGACATATGTCTATCTATTGCTTTACCTAAAACAAATCCTAGAAGTTCTCATTTCCTTACAAAAGCACTATATTTCCTTTCTCTAAGATGCCTCTTTTTTCTTTTGCAGTGTAAAAATTGTAACAAATTACTTCAAAATCAATGTCCTGATAGTAGTTTACAATGCGTTTGATAATCCCAAAGGCCAGAAACCTAAAGCAGAAAAATTGGATAAGGGAATTCAATGACATATTTGGTGCTAGGAGCATTATCTAAGCCACAAACTATATTA